CAAATTGCTTTGTTTTCCCCACAATAAACCGTGCATTTCTTTAGAAATATTAGTAAGCACTGAGCAAGTTATTCACTCGAAAAAGTCAGGGCATAAGCCCCTGTCTCCTCTGTGTGAGGCGATACCCACGTGTGGATCTCTCAGCAAATCCTGATAAGTTAATACACTCCAAAAAGGAGATATAATAGGTCACGGATCATGACACACTGCCTCAGAGAAGCCAGGGTAAGTGCTGTGTGCTTACAATGGTGGAAACAAGTAAAGGATGGTTGGAAACATATCCTGTGCCACATGCCACAGCCCAGAATACTATCCTGGGCCTTGAAAGCAAATTTTGTAGAGATTGTGGTACTCCAGAAATAATTGAGTCAGACAATGGGACTTTTTTCGAAAACAGTCTTGTGACTGACTGGGCTAAAGAGCATGGTATTGAGTGGATCTACCATATCCTGTACTATGCACAAGCCTCAGGGAAAGCTGAAAGGTACAATGGTCTATTGAAAGATACCCTAAAGGCAATGGGTGGTAAAACTTAAAAAACTGGGTTAAAAAATTGGCAAAGACCACCCGGTTAGTTAATACCAAGGGATCCATCAATCGAGCTGGTCCTGCCCAGTCAGACCTTTTACATACTGCAAATGGGGATAAAGTCCTTGTGGTATGTGAGAGAAACCTGTTGGGTAAAAGTTGTTTAGGTCTATCTTGCTTCAGGCAAAGGTAAACCAAAGGACACAGAGAAGTTTAGGGTTGACTCAGGGCCTCTTACATGCAAAGCAAATGCTTTCCCACTGAGCTACATTGAAGATTACAGTACAAAGTTGGCAGGGTGGTTTCTTTGGAGAGCAGGACTTCAGGTGTAAAACCAGAACGCATTTTCCTTTTCTTCTGATTCAGGTCCCTTTTTCCATTTCACATCCACCGTAATCTTACTTTCCTTGTTCTCCATTAACAAAACACATATAGGAAAACCTCTGGATAATTTTAGAGAACAGTATTGATTTACAGGCTTCACTGGTTAAAAAAAAAAAATAATAGTTCCCTTCTGAGAAAATAATCTTCTCCAAGATGTCAGGTAATTTTGATACTGGGTTGAATGGCAAAATTGCTCTACTTCATTACATTCTAAAAGCCCTCTTTGATTAAAACTTGATTCCTCCCTTTGATTTGGGACTGCTCTTATTCAGTCTTAGAAATGGAGCCATTGAAAGCCTACATAAATACCCTTGTAATTTTAAGAAGAACATGCTTGTAAATTTCCTTTGGGTCAAAAAGATTAATTTTCTTCTATTAATTAGCATTCAGGCCACTGAGATTTAAATACAACTTGTAGAATACTAAGCAAAATAGTCTACCAGGATCTAATGTCTACTTTGTTTTACTTGATTAAACACAATACAAGTGCCACCGGACCTCTTGGAACTACATAAAATACTTTTATACCCAGATGTCCCAGTTTCCCCTTCATTCACATTTACTGAGACTTTTAAACTCCAGTACTTGCTATCAAATCTTCCATGCAGAAAGAAACTCTGAAAGAATTAGCTCGCTTCAGCCCAAAGCTTTTTTTTTCTTTTTTCTTTTTTTTTTTTTCCCTACCCTCTTTATGGTCTAAACCTCAAATTAACTACATGGAGAATTGATAAGCTGTAGTGAAGTTTTATTTGTATCAAAGAGTCAGATTTAGCCATGCTTATTCACTCCAAGAGGTAGTTTAATTCCTCCATAATAATAAGAGACTTCTCAGAGAATAAGGTATTACTCAAAGCAAGTTCCATACAATTTGTTTATTAAAATAAATACTTTCATAAAGGAGATTTCATAGATATGGAACACTGCTAGAGTTTTTTATATTATTTTTTTTTAGAATATAATAGTTGCTACATAGTTACCCTGCTGAAATCCACCTGTAGCTCCTCAGGGAACTGGCAGATGACATTACAAAACCACTGTCCATCCTATTTGAAAACCCATGGCAGCTCAGTGAAGTTCCCACTGACTGGAAAAGGGGAAACACAACCTCTGTTTTCAAAAGGGGTAAAAAGGAAGAGCCAAGGACCTATAGACCAGTCAGTCTCACCTGTGTGCCCAGCAACATCACAGAGCAGATTCCCCTGAATGCTCTGCTAAGACACATGGAAAAAGTGGAGGTGGATAGTGGCAACCCATAAAGCTTCACCAAGGGAAAATTATGCCTGATGGTTATGGTGGATTCTTACTATGGGATCAGTGTATTGATGTACAAGGGGAGAGGAGAGGATGTTGTAAACCTGGATGTGCAAAGCTTTCAACAGTGTCCTGAACAACATCCTGGTCTCTAAATTGGAAAGATATAGATTCGATGGATAGACCACTCCTTGGGTAAGGAATTGGCTGGATGGTTGGACTCAAATAGTAGAGGTTAATGGCTTGATGTCGAAATGGATGGAGACCAGTGATGAGTGGTGCTCCTCTGGGGTTGGTAGTGGGACAGGTGCCATTTAACATCTTTGTTGGCGATATGGATAGTAGCAAGTTTGCTGACAACATAAAGCTGCTTGGTGAGGTTGACATGCCAGAGGGAAGGAAGGCCATCCAGAGGAACCCTGACAGGCTTAAGAAGTGTATCCATGCCAACCACAATAAGGCCAAGTGAGAGGTCTTCTGCCTGAGTCAAGGCAAACCCAAGCACAAACACATCCTGGAGCATGGATTGAAAACAGTGCATGTATGGAGCATGGATTAAAAGCAGTGTGGCCAGCAGTTCAAGGGAGGTGATTCTCTGCTCTTGTGAGACCTGACATGATGTGTCCACTTTTGGAGTCACCAACAGGACAAGGACATGGAGCAGCTGGAGCAAGTCCAGAGGAGGGCCACGAAGATGATCAGAGGGCTGGAGCACCTTTGTTATGTAAACAGGCTGAGAGAGCTGGGGTTGTTCAGCCTGGAGAAGAGAAGGCTCCAGGTAGAACTTAAAGCATTTTCCAGCAACCTGAAGGGGCTACAGGAAAGATGGAGAAGGACTTCTTACAAGTGCAGGGAGTGATAGGACAAGAGATAATGGCTTTAAACTTGAAAAGGTGAGATTTAGGTTAGACATTAGAAATAAATCCTTAACTGTGAGGGTGGTGAGACACTGGAACAAGTTGTCTAGAGAGGCTGTGGTTGCCCCATCCCTGGAAGTGTTCAAGGCCATGTTGGATGGGTCTTTTATCAGCCTGGTCTATTGGGAGGTGTCCCTGCCCATGCAGCGGACGTGGAACTAGATGATCCATAAAGACCCTTCCAACCCAAACCATTCTAAGACTATGATTCTATGATTATATCTTTTTTAATGGAGATTGAAAGAGAAGACTAATCACATGTTTGAATGTAAAGACTTAATCAATATCAAATCACAGTCATTTTGAAAAGGTATACTGGAATAATTGTTTAAATGAGTAAACTTGCATTTATCCCAGTATCAATCATCTCTGAAAAGAGATGAAATTGTAGAAATATAAAAAATACTATTAATTAGTAATCTTCAAGACCTTAAGCATTCATGTAAGCAGTAGCCTAGAAAATAATGTAATTGTGCATTTAATACAGTTGTGGCCATTCACCAGTAAACATGTTGCTAATAGGCAAGATGCAAAAGGTGGCACTAATTTTCCAAATCACAAAGAAGAATAAGCAGTGTATCCAATTTTCTCCATCACTAAAAATGAGCTCCTATGTATTTGTCAAAACGTGCCACCAAGCAATGAGTCAACATATCTGTATGAGGAATACCTGAGAAGACTGGATTATATTATTAAAAGGAGAAAGATCAACAAGTACCAAGACATGAAATAATTATTGTCAAATGCATACGTACAAAACCTTTTGAAGACATGTATAAAGGAAGTATACTCCGAAAGTATCGTGTATGATCCCAATTAAATAGCCGAGTTACTGAAACCTTTTAGAATTTTTTTATTTTATTTTTTTTTTCCCACCGAAAAATAAGCCAGATTACCTTCTTAGGAATACTGATGAGCTTTCCGAGTAGAATATGAAATATTATATGAGCTCTATATTTCTTATTAATGATTTGAACTTTCAAGCAATTAATTTTGTTGGGTTTGATTTTGGTTGTTTTTTTGGGTTTTTTCCTGTGTTGGTTTGGTTTGTTGTTTTTTTTCCTGATGAAAGGCAAGTATTCTTCT